GCAGCTTCCCAGGAGACTCAGTCATCCTTCCCATAGACGTCACCATCTAAAAGTTTCCTCATTTAAAATCTTTTCCCTCCTGCTCGTAGCAATTCCCCACCATCCCTCCCCTCCTCCCCGCAGCACCTTCACCGCCAAGGGTAAATTTGTTCCATATTTAGCTCACACACTCTGTCCTGCTCCTTGCTTTGTTCCTTCTCATTAAAAAAAAAAAAAAAATCCAGCTTGTTAATGGGTTGCTGGCAATGGGAACCGGAGAGAAAGCCTCAGGTGGAGCCATGTGAGATTTGGGGGGCGGGCAGAGGATGTCAGTGCCGCCTCGCACCATGACCCGGCAGCTCTGTGCACGCCGCAGCGCCACTGCCATGTCCCATTTGCTCCCTCCCAGACACCTCCACTTAATGGTGACACCTGAGGCAGAAACATCGCAGAAATCGAATCGGGGAGCAAACACGGAGTGATAGGACTGAATATGGAAAAGCAAGATATTTTCTTGCAGGAAGGAAAGGGCTGGAGCAAAGCGGATGACTCCGGCTCCGCATGCAGCTCCTGGGGACGGGCTCAACAGCGCGTGCCGGGCTCTGGGGCCACCCCGCTCTGCCCACCGCATCGCAAAGAAAAAGGAAAATTCAGTTTTCCTGGGCAACATTAGGGTGGCTGGAAGCACCACCTCGTGCCTGCCAGCAACCGCCCCTGGCGTCAGCCCCACTGCCTCCCCTGGGAGCAAGCGGCAGCAGAGGAGGGTGCACCGGCGGCGATGTTCCTCGGGGAGATGGAGGGATGGGGCATCATGGTCCCCACAGCGAGCGGGATCCCCGACAGGCGCCTGCCATCAGCTGAGCCGTTTTTTTGTGGAAGAGAAACCCGCGCTTCCCAACTGCCAGAGGAAAGCGAGGCCGGGCATCGCCACAACCCGACAGAGGAAACATCTGCAACTCCTTCCCTATCCCACACACAAGCGTGCCCACTGCCACGTACGGACACCCACCAGGAAGCGATTCCGGCTCTGGTTAAGGCACCGAGGGTCCCAGGCAGGCGCAGACCCTCACGACACCCCCATGAGCACCGTGACTCCAGGGAGAGCCCCAGGGCACGAAGATGGCTGCAGAACGTGGCCTTGGTCCTGTCCTCCATCTCGCCTAGAGCGGCGTGAGCATTAGGGGCTCACGCAGCACCTGCACACCGGAGGACCCCTCTGATCTCACGCAGCAGGGACACATCCCTGCCTGCACGCCACCACGGCTCGGCTCAGAGCAGAGCAAACTCCTCCAGGAGCCGAGCCCTGTGGGAGGACCCCACTCCCCGGGGAGCCAGCGGCGGACCCACAAGCTCCGTCCTACCCAGCTCTCCTCCTCCCTTCTAAACGAGCGCAAAGAGAAAGGCGGTTCAACTCACACCTCGCTAATTGTTATTTGTGATACACCAGTAACATTTTAATTAATCTGAAGTCTTCAGCATAACAGCCACCCAAGGTACAAAGATAAACCAGAATAAACAGGGCTTGATTAAATACATAATTAATGTTCCAGTAAACCTGGCATATATGAATATTAATTAGGAGGAATAGTCTGCAGTTTGGCATCTCCTATCATTATCAATTTATTCTTTACATTGCCAGCCCCAGCTTTGGAACAAATTAACAAACCTTTTGCTTGCTGGCAGAGCCCACTAAATATAAACTGAATGCAAGAGGCTGGTCTTTACATTCAATTATCTCACCCACACATTAACTGGCTTCTAGCACATTTGCCTGAAACCAAAGATAGATGCATTGCCAAGACCGAAACATGTTCATCCCTAAATGGGGCTCAAAGTAAATAAAACTGCTCTCTGCTGGCAATAATAAGAGGGAGCCCATTCCTCACGAGAGCGGAGCAGAACAGGGCCAGACATGGTCCTTGCGAGGGTTTTAACCACCGGACGGAGGAACTTGGTAGAGTTTGGGCTCAGCTGTAAAACACTGCAGGTTTCAGAGGAGCAAGACCACCTCCAGCCCGTCAGAGGCACTCGGCCAGACCAGAGGTCCAGCAAGGTGTGCCGGGACAGGAGCAGGCCCCTCCCAGCTGCGGCATCCCCCCTGAGGGTTGTGAAGTTTTATGAAGCGTTATGAAGACAAGGGTAGGACAGAAAACCCTTGGGAACCACCTGGGCAACCTCCGATGACAGTCTCCCTGCAAGTGCATTGGGCTCGCAGGGAAGCGGAGCAAGCACCAGGCGTGGTGACAGAGCTGCGTGCTGCTGCCAAAGCGAGCACGGAGTGATTTTGCAAGCCCAGGGGCCGGGAGAGCCAGCAGCCCGTGGCCGACGGCCGTGCCGAGGCACCGAGCATCCCCAACTTCTCGGCTCAGCACCTCCCGCTTCCTCCCCCAGCACAGGCGCTGCCGCCCCACACGCTAACCGAGGTGTCATTACGCTGCAGGAGGCAGCGCTAATTATAGCATCAGCCTTTCCGCTTGCAGGGATGATAATTGAGGTAGAGCATTACAGTGTTTCCAAACCCCGCGCCGCAGGCAGGGGCCACAGCAGATCAGAGAAGTGCCACCGGCGCTGCCAAGAATTTGCTGGGAAAGCAAAAGGACTTTGGCGAAAGCCAAGCCGAGTCCCGTCCCGCTGCTCACCGAGGGGCTGGACCAGCATCTGCTTCATGCAAGAAAGACCAGAGACCCTGGTAATGAGCAGGGCAGGCCACAAGCTCCCGTTTAAATCACAGTCTGAATTATTTATTAGGGTGAAATCAGTGCATCCTGTGACCTGCAGGCAGGGGCTCTGGGGAGCACGATGGCAGAGGCGGGCTCAAGTCCAGCTTCTGCGACTTGAAACCTCTGGATGACTTTGGGCAAATCCCCGTTGAAACGAGGACGTTGCTACAGGGCTTCGCCATCGGTGAGTGGCCCCAACGAGCACAAACAGCCCCTGTCACCCATCCAGCCCCACAACAGCGCTGTGGGGCTGCTGGAAAGGCTCGCGCCAGGTGGAAAAGAGCAGGAGGGGGACTTTGGGGACAGGGCTTGGCAGGGACAGACACCCCACTGCGACCCAGAGACCCCTGCTGAGCTGAGCTGAGCCTCCTAGCAGGGGCTGAGCAGCAGAACCCTCCGCAGGCCACCGCTCTCACACACCTCTCTGGATATTAAGCTTTAATATTGTGACCTTTAAGATGCAAGAGAGAATTTCTGAGCCTCTGTAACCATCCAAGGGTGGCTTTGTGCTCTTGCAGAAGCAATGAAAGGTTAGACCGGCGGCTCTGTGGCAGCCAGGGCCGTGTTGCCATTAATCTACTGCTACGGGTGACGCTTTGTTCACTCCTCTACAAAACTTTCTTTTTTTGCCAGTGACAAGAGACAGGAATCCCCAGCCAATATGGCCCAAGGCAGCGAGATGCACACGCCGCCCGGCTCTTCACCCCGGCTCCCTGACAGTTCGTTTGAAGGATGAAATCCAATTACAGGTCGCTCGGTGCAAACACTTCCCCTTTTTTGCGTGTGTGGCTAATTTAAAGCTCCCTACTTGCCTCATCTGCCAGGCATCTGCCTCCCCCGGCAATACATGGAGCTGAACTAAGGCATCCGAGTTATCTACCTATAATTAGAGAAAAAAAAAAAAAGGATGAAAAGAAGAAAATCCACAGGAGCAGGAGCACCCAAGGGCGCTGGGTACCAATGACCGGCTGGAAGGAAGCAATTACTGCCCAGAGACAAGCAAGTAGCAGCGAGGCTGGAAGGGACAGCAGCTCATGAGTGCTCAAGGAAAAAAACGCCCACGGGCAGCCCGGCTCCAACGCCAAGACAGCCCACTGCGTGTTTGCTTTGATTTTTTTCCTGCCATTCAATGGGTGCCCTTGCAGGGGGAGAAATACGGGATCTGTGATTACAGACCCATAATGGAGCCTTCTCACCCAGGAAGCCCAACCAGTGATGGAATTTAAGACGGATGCCCTGGCACCGGATAAAAGTCACTCTCGAAATCGAAAAGCACACGTGACGACGCAAGGCAGCTCCCCCTCCCCTGCTCTGACGGTTAAAGCAAGCCCCGTGCTGCAGCAGCTCTCACGGCTGACAATAGCCACCTCCTTGCCAACAAGCCATGTGTTCGCACCAGCTCGGAAACCACGGGTGTTCCAAAGGCACTCATCGTTTTCCCCCAAGTTTACAGATCCAAGTTATGCAGAAAAGCCTTTTCCTATTCTCCCCCGCACCCCCCATCCAGGCTACAACCTGAGACAGGCAGAGACTGAGCTGGGAAGGGAGAAAGAAAAGGGGAGGGGAAGGAGGATAGGAGGAGAGAGGAAACCAGGAGAGCAAGCATTTGAAAAGGTTGCCTTATATTACTTTCAACATCACCAAGAATTGCAAAGCAGCTGAGTCTCCTCAGCTGTTACAAATCTATTTCATCTTTTTTTTTAATCACATCTTCTTTTGTAGTCTCAAAGCCCAGCCCCCGGAAGGACACAGCCCTCCAAGACTCATGGCTCTGCAGTTTTCCCTCTATTGGCGAACTCCATCCCTTGAATGAGAAAACCCCAACGGTACGTGCTCCCGTGGAGAAGCAGCTCTTTAAAATGCATCTCTTGCTGGTACACAGACCAGAAGAGAAACGAAAAGAGACCAGAATTTGTTGTCTTTACAGCGTCACCTTTCTCAATATACTCTCAGGCTTACAATTTTCGCCCACGACAGGCTGGCAATAGTGAGCGGGGCTGCAGATGTTCAAGATGCAGCAGCGAGCCTGAGCCCACAGGCTCCCCATCGAGCCCCTTCCCCACGAGGGGTTTTGCTGCCAAGACCTTACATGGTTCAGCCCTACCAAGAGAGCAAGATTTGACATGACAGACCTTGTCAAAAGGCACCCTAGCACCCACTCGGTGAACGCTATCTGCGAGCAGCAAGGAAAAGAAGAAGGGAGAGAAGGCGGCAGTCCGGTACGATCCTCCCAGGATGGCACCGACCCCGGGAAGAGGCTGCCTGCAAGCCGGGATGGACGGACAGACGGACAGGACTTACCTGGGATGTTGTGGATGGTTATAGCGAGGATCATCAGCATAATCCGCCTCCAGCTGCTGCTGCCGGCCGTCGGGGCACTGTCCCTGGCCGTGGGGAATGCCGGGGGGCCGTCTGGCAGGCTGGCACCGGCGCCCTTCCTCCTCTGATAGGGCTCCCCGTTCTCACCTTTGTCTGGGGGTACAGAAAACAGCCGGGTCAGCCGAGAGGGTGACAGATGGACAGCTGGGCATCTCCTGCCTCCCCTCCCAGAAGGAAAAAGCAGAGAGAAGGAATAACACTGACCAAAGCAGGGCTGAAAGCGTGTGCGTTGCCCCCTTCATTTCAAGTTAGGGTGGGGGGTTTCCCCCCATGCAGACTGCAGAGCCCACGGGCCAGGGAGATCCTGAGACAAAGCAGAAGTTCATCCTCTGCCTCCTCCTCCTCCTCCGGAGACCCACTCCCGGCCCCCTAGCATCACCCCTGGGCTCACACCCACCTGCAAACCCAAAAGTCCCGATCTGGTGGAGACGAGCTCTGGGGCCAGTGGCTGATGAGGGTGATGATGAGGACAGAGCTGCTGGGCAGCCGCCGGGACCCACAGCGAGACCGGCGTCCCCATCCCAACCCGCCCCCCACAACCCCAAACCTGGCAGGTCTGCAGTTCCATTGCCTTCGCTGATGAAGGAAAACCCTGCAATACTTCATTTTGATTTCACCCCGGTCACAAAACGAGTGCACTGAGCTGTATTTAGCGACTACTTGTTCCGCTACCAAAAGATTTGCCGCTGCCATTTGCTAAGACATCACCGGATAACCCCGGGCTCTGCCGGAGCTCTGCTCCCAGCAGGACCATTACTACCGGCTCTATTTCAACCAGTTATTTAAAACCACACCACTAAAACCCAAGCCCCAGTTAGGGCTGCGAAGGGTGGAACAAGCACCAGGCAGCACCGTAATAAAGCCTACGCACACCGAGCCCCTCACTGTTCACCTTTCAGTGTGAAAAGGTGAAGGGAAGCCAAGAAACGAGGAATACAAATTCCTTAACCTCACACAGCAACAGCTATGGCTTTGTATTAAAGAAGATTTGACATTTAAACAATATAATTCTCTCCCTCTCGATTTATATAATTCTCTCTCCTGTCCCCTGACCCACCCACCCCAAGATTTTTTTCACAGACACAGTGTAGGCAGACACAGTGTAAGGAGCCATCTGAAACAGTTTTGACCGAATGCCAATTGCTTCCCCTGACGTTTGGAGGCAGGATGATGCCCGACCGTCACGCTGCGACGTTGCGCAGTGTGCGTTTTCAGCGCCAATTAAGAACCTCAGCATAAGAGGGCTCATGCAAATTGACACAAGGGGTCACCTTGGGAAAGCAGGGACGTCAGCAACACTTCACATCTTGCCATCTGTAACACAAAAACGGACACGTAAAGGCATCCTGAGACGGTCCTCAACAACACAGAAAATAAAACCAAGAATTTAATATATTTTGGTACCAAAAAAACAGGGCGAGGACTAAAACCCCACTTGTCTGCAGCGGGACCAGAGGACTCTCCGGCGGATTCCTTCCTGCCACTTCCCATGCTACAGGAGCATCCCCGCACGGCGTCACCAGGGCTGCAAACCGCGACGCCCGCGACTCTCACGCTTTTCCCCAAAAGGCCGTTGCCGCTCTGCAAACAGAGCAAGATGCTGCGCAGATAAATATTGTCGCTAGCCGTACGGAGCCAGACACTTTCTGTCCCCAAATCCTAGCCCAGTCAATAACGCGCAGTAACATTTGATGGCAGTAACATTTCATTCCAGCCTGCGGGGACATAGATAAATATTTATTTTAAGCAATAGCAAGGACAACCAGATCCAGTGCAGCGGCTTGTCCAGTTC